CAACCATGCTAAATGCTGGCCGACAGGGAGGTCCAAACTAACGGACACAAACCGAAAAGAACTATAGAACCTCACCATGGAGGGATGCACTTGAAGGTAGCGGTGAAGGTCAAGGTCAAGGTCATATTTGGACGTAAAATCTTCCGCTCTTTCCACTTCCGGGTTATAAATAAGGGGTTCCATTTGAAAAAATTGACTTGATATTGAAATGACCTTGAAGGTCATCGTCATCGTCAAGGTCAAGGTCACCATAAGTTAGCCTTGTCTGTACCCTACAACTTTTGTATAAACAAATTTCATAATTATACATGTGTGAGGGTGTCCGTTTTAAATTTTACATCGAAATACCTACATAATATAAATAATATGGAAAAATGTATGTGACAAAAGTGTGTGACTCTCTTTAGGAGACAAATTATAGTAAAATACATAACTTTTTCGAGGTTATATGAAAGTCGTAGTAATTTTTTAAAATGGAATTATATGATTGTTTTATATAACATGATCTTTATACATAGATGTACATATACAGGGTGACCCATTTTAACTTAGACAGCCAAATAACTCGAAAGAAGGTTATGGGTACTTTCTAACAAGCGACTCAGTACAACATAGTGATTGTCTCATGCTTGTATATTGGCGAACAACAAGACTATAATGATGCACCGTGTCATACCATGTCACATTGTGTCTCTTGTTGGAAGGCACCCTATAAAGCCAAAATTGATTAAAAGGTTACTGTCATGTTACTGTCATGTGTGTTTCTTGTTGGGAGGCACCTTATAAAGCCAGAATGGGAAAGGTTAGTATTTTTATGTCATTCGTGAAAATATCAATTTATTTATCATACAAGTGATATGGTTAAATGTTATAACCGTAAATTGTGCTTCGCCTAATCATGATCCAATGTCAGAGGCGTTCATCGTGGGCTGACTATTTTTAATTTACTACCAGAGGCGTTAATTGCGAGCTGGCTATAACAAAATGCCGCAGCCGTAAATCGTGCTTTGGCTAGTTATAGACAAATGTCAGAGGCATTTATCGTGGGCCGACTATTTTTAATTAACTGCCATAGTCGTTAATCATAGACTGGCTAGCTATAACAAAATGCCACAGCCGTAAATCGTGCTTTGGCTAGTTATAAACAAATGTCAGAGGCGTTCATCGTGGGCTGATTATTTTTAATTAACTACCAGAGGCGTTAATCGTGGGCTGGCTTGCTGTAACAAAATGCCACAGCCGTAAATCGTGCTTTGGCTAGTTATAAACAAGTGTCAGAGGCATTCATCGTGGGCTGACTATTTTTAATTAACTACCAGAGACGTTCATCGTGGGCTGACTATTTTTAATTTACTGCCAGAGGCATTTCGATTATCAAATCTGGATGGTGAAATACGATGCTTGCGGAGCCAATTCGTAGAATTTTGCTTCTGCAATTAAAGAAATGTGAGTGGATGCATTGTCATAATGGGACCAAAAGCTTGGGACTGGTTGCTTGACACGACCGAAAGAAAGAAATTAATGAACA